CAAGACCCTAAAATAGGGTTCTGATCTGACTGGAGTACGCCCAGCGTACTCCGGGGAACATTCGCGATCCTCTTGGTCAGTACGCCCAACGTACTCCAAAAGTACGCCCATCGTAATGCCTTCATCACTAGTACGCCCAACGTACTCCTTGTGTACGCCCAACGTACTCGGCTAAGCCTGAAACTACTAAACTTCCGAAGGCCATAACTTCTTCGTTATAAATCCGTTTTCGACAATCCTTATATCCACAGAAAGGTAACGAGAAGCCCTACACTTCTATCAACTCATATCTTCCTAAATACCTTCCGAACAAAATTCCATTTCCACAAAAACCCGAACTGCCATTTTACCGAAATACCCCTAGGTTCCGAAACACGAACCAAACACCCGGATCATTTCTAATACATCACCCGCACCCAAAAGGGCCAGATCTTACCTTCCCAAGAGCCATAATCCTTATAATAACCGACCTTCGAGCCACCGCCTCAGACTAGAAGTCAATTCGGAACAGAGTGTTACGCATTTGTTATTCTGTTTCGCTTCAGTAATGTCTGCTTCAGTAATCCCTCCATCGATACCCACATATCGATCATACCATGGAGCATGAACAATCACAACCAACCATGGTGTTTTACTCCAGTTAACCTTCTTCACATTAGACTCTAACCATCGTATTGGTCAGATCCATATCCAAAATAGGTATAGGAACCCAACATGAGGACGTGGCATTGCCACCTGACATTGTCTGGGGAAATTGAAACCTCAAACGAGAGAGAGAGAGAGAGAGAGAGAGAGAGAGAGAGAGAGGACCCTTTTATATTAAATATTTATATTTTATTATTATTATTATTATTTTAATAGAGAAAACCTCATGGTCCCTGGGTATTGAAATGACGAAAATGCCCCTCACTTAACGGTAGAAAGCTGACGGAGTTAGGCGGAAGGACTAAACATTAAAAGTTTTGAAACCACAGGGACCATCCGTGAGGTTTTTGTAAATTAGGGACCAAACTTCACATTTTGTGAAACCACAGGGACCACTTTTGAAGTTTTGTCTAGAAAAAATTAATTTTCTTTACATAAAAATTGGAGTACTTGGTTTTGTAATTAGAGTAGAGCCACCCCGCCACTAAAACTAGGTCGTTTTGAGTTGGTGTGGTTTCAACACTGAATAGTGAACACACACTACATCAGTCGGCACAAATTGACTTCTACACTCGATCAAATTCCACATTTGATATTTCGTGAACTGCTAATCGAAGTAGAACAGAAGTTCGCTTCTACTCTCGATCATATTCACTTCTACACTGGTGTACTTACACAGTTGCATCATATATTCGAAGTTGAGCAGAAGTTCAGAATAACACAACGATGGAGTCGGTCAATCGGACACTGGAGAACCGAAGTTTTTGGAAAGCAGGAGCATTCGATATTGGCCCAACAAACTGGACTCCTTCTCAAGGTTTAACCGATTCATCTTTTTATTGTGTATTTGTATTGTTGCTGCCCTTCTTCGCTAAAAACTTTTGACCTACTGTTAGATAAATTTCTACGTACGAAATAGATAATCTCGTGAACTAAATAGCGTTACTTATTCCTAATGATTACAATGGATAACCCGATAAATCTAGCTTGGAACTCTGTCACAAAGGAAATTGTTACAATTTTTCATGATATTGAGTGTATCTCACCTCCCTCTTTGCTTCTTGCCCTAGATTTTGGGCATTTTGTAATAGGATATGACATATTCATAGGAGAAAATTATAGTTACGCACTATATATGTGATTGGAACAGACATTCACACTTGACTTGCAAGTTGACGTGAATGGAGTTCTGATTTATTTCAGATGAATTGGAGCATGCTCGTGTGCACCCAAAGTTTCTTCATTCCAATGCAACTTCACACAAATGGGCTTTTGGAGGTATGACCTTCAACTTTTTGGATTTTTCTCTTATCATGAAACACAGTCAGTCTTCAGATTTTTTGATTTTTCTAATTATCCCAACCTCAAGTATTATACAGAAGTTCAATGTTATTGATGGTATTATCAAGATTTAATACTCACAATGTAGTTGCAACTATTGCAGCAATTGCTGAGCTGTTGGATAATGCTGTTGATGAGGTAAACCCTTAGTTTTAGACATCACAAGAATTTCATTAATATAAGTAAGACAATATATATTCTTTTTCATCCCTTTACCATGTTACATGACTTATGATTTGATTTTATGTAATCAAATTAAAAGCATTAAACCATTACTAGACATCACAATTTCTTTTGATTGAATAGATATATTGCAAGTTTATATGCAGAATTGTAAGGTTGAAATATTACATTGCTATTGAAGTATTCTGTCTATAACTTATATGATGTTACAGATCAACAACGGGGCAACTTTTGTGAAAGTTGACAGAATCTACAGCAAAAGGGACAATTCTCCTGCTTTACTTTTTCTTGGTAACATTCTTGATGTATTTAACTTTCACATTGATTGTTATAATGTTTCTAGATATATCAATATCAATATCAATGTTGACTAGTCAAACTGAAATGCTGTTGCAGATGATGGAGGTGGAATGGATCCTGAGGGCATTCGGAAGTGCATGAGCTTGGGATACTCAACAAAGAAGACAAATGACACAATTGGACAATGAAAGTATTTAAAAACTATTTCAGATTTTTGAAATCTTGAATACTTAATGATATTAAAAACTTTAAAAACTTTATATTTTCAGATGGAAATGGGTTCAAGACAAGCACTATGAGATTAGGAGCTGATGTGATTGTTTTCAGTCGTGCATCTAAAAACGGGTACTCTTTCTTTCTACTCTCTTTCCTCTTTGATATTATTTAATTTTTAAAATTAATTATCGGGATTAAAAAAGTAATGTTTTTTAATGTTATTTGTTACTATCTTTTGTAGTCAAAAAACCCAAAGTGTTGGCCTTTTATCTTATACATTTCTACGCAAAACTGGACAAGATGATGTCATTGTCCCAATGGTAGATATATAAACAACAAACCCTTTATTTTTTTTAAACAATCTTTCTTTTGTTCTTTTGTTTTTTATATAAAATAAAATTTGTTTGCAGATTGATTTTGATATCTCAAAGCATTGGGCAGAACCTTTAATATATGGCTCTCAGGATGATTGGTCTACTAACTTGAACACAATTCTTGAATGGTCTCCATTTTCTTCAAAAGATGATTTAATGCAACAGGTTTGTTTTCTTATTTTTGTTCCCCTTTTTAAAAAGTTTGGATTTTTTTTTACATTTAAGCATTGTTTTTTTTAATAAACTTTCTCAGTTTGAAGATATTGGATCACATGGGACAAAGGTTCTTATATATAACTTATGGCTCAATGATGAAGGCATCTATGAACTCAACTTTGATGATGATGATGAGGTATAAGTACTTTTTTTTGTACAATTATGATTTTTAATGATAATAATATCATTATACAAGTGCTAAATTTTATATTTTGTTTTGATACAGGATATAAAATTGAGAGATGAAGTTTCTCGTTTGTCCAAATTAAGCAAGAAAGCAGCTGAAATAGAAACACATATTTCTAAACGCCTTCTACATTCATTAAGGGTGATTATTTAAATTTTATAACTTTTCTTTGGGATCTTTATTTTTTTAATTTGCATCATAATGATATATAATCTTTTTTTTTTTATAGGCATATGTTTCTATGTTGTACCTCAAAAAGTTTAAAAACTTTAAAATTTTCTTAAGGGGGGAACCTGTAGAGCAGTTTAATATAGCAGATGAATTGAAATGTAAGGAAGTTGTCATTTACAGACCACATGTTTCTTCAATGAGAGAGGTAATATTTTCTCTATTTTACACATAAAATCAGTATTTACAAAAACTAACCCTGTATTTTTTTATTTATTAATTATATGTTTTTATTAGTTAAACCTCTAATTGTTCTTGATGTAGGCGATTATGGAGACAACCCTTGGATTTATTAAAGAAGCACCTGCTCTTCCAATTACTGGATTTAACATATATCATAAAAATCGCCTTATTCGAGTATGTGTTTTTATAAATTATGAATTTTTTTTTTAAATGAAAAAGATAGCTATGTAATTTTATTGATTTGCTTATTATAAGTTTATAACATCTTATTTTCATTTCTTTCTGTTTCAGCCCTTTTGGAAAGTAACTGGTGATGGGAATTCTAAAGGAAATGGAATTGTGGGTAAGCATGTTCTCTTCTTTAATTGTTTGTTTGGTTGGATGGAATGGAATGAGTAATTCCATTCCATTGGCATGTAGGATTTCACACGGTTTGTTAATATTAGTTAATCATAATTATAGAATTTATTAGTTGCAAGTTTGAAAAAAATGAATATAATAAAAGTTTAATAAAATGCAAATTTCATTTTTAGTCCCTGTGATCAGATGTTTTTTCCGGATCATGTCCAAAAAAGATATATATAATTTTTTGCAATTATAGTCCTTATTGAAGATTCTCAAAACGGTTTTGATCCATGTTCCATACAAAATCACATTTTTGCCCCTTAATGATAAAAAATACTAGGGGCCAAGTTGTCATTTAATCTAAAGAGAGGACTAAAAACTCTACAAAATCCATGAGTAAGGACCAAATTTGCATAAGTATTATCTTTTTGATCTGATTCAAAAAAAGTAACTAAACTTAGGGACCAAAGATGAAATGTAATCTAAAGAATATATTTTGTAATAGTTACCTTTGAAAATAAATTTATAATTCAATTAAAATCGTGAAATTCTTGTGCAATTACATGTTATATAAAATAAAAGGTGGATATATATATATATATATATATATATAACAATTCATCATTCCACTCCTTCATGGAATAAAAAAGAAACCCCTGCCTAAGGAATGACAATGAATTCCATTTTCCAACGGAATCAACCATTCCAATGGAATCAACCATTCCATTCCTTCCCAGATTCCATGAACACTTCCTAAATTTCTACAGGAGTTCTTGAAGCAAATTTTATAGAACCAGCACACGACAAACAGGATTTTGAAAGATCATCTTTATTCTCAAGGCTGGAATCGAAGCTTAAACAGATGCAAATGGAATACTGGTTTTTTGTTTTTCATTTTTTAAAAATTTTTTATTTAAATTTTTACATATATTTCTAACAAACTTTATGAACAGGAGAACTCACTGTCACTTAATTGGGCACCTGCCCGATCCAAGTTTCCTTCGAAAATTGGAAAAGACATCATCCACTCTGCCACTTCAAACCCAAGGTCAAAGGTTTGACCATAGTCAAAGTCAACCCATGCCTGGTCTTGCGGTCAACCCAAGGCCCGATTTGATGGCTAACCATGGTCGAACCGTCTACAACAATGGCGTACCTGTGGCTCGGGCTCCTCCTGGATTTGACACCGTCAGTCTTGCCTTCCTTATTTTATCTGATACATGAGACTGATGTCAATAAGACAAAAATTACAGTGTTTTGTCCCACCCAAAAAAGGTGGGACATTGACAAATACTGATGTCAATGTGACAAAAATTACATTTTTTTTTTTTTTTTTTTTGTCAAAAGGGTTATTTTTTCTTTTTTTAATATTTTCGGAGAATGAATATTTGTAATTAAGATTGATATTGTTATTATGTCACGGATTCCAGGGTTTTGATCAAGAAGTGACACGTGGAGATGGTTCAGTGGATATTGATCAAATTTGTGATGAAAACATCCAACTTTTCATGAGGTAGTAAAAGTTTGTATTTTTGGCATCTTTCATTTGATCCAATATTATTGCATTTTTACACTAATGATAATGTTTTGTAGATGTGAGGAGCACACACAAAGGAAGAATGAGTTAACAACTACGGTAAGAACAAGTTGTACTGTGTTGTGTTTGACTTTGACAAAAAAAAGGCGGGACGAGGACTTGCTTTTGATGTCTCTCTTGTTAAAAAGACTGTACTGTAGTGTTCTGTCTTGTCCTGTTCTGTTCTGTAGTTTTAGAAGTTGATGTGGTTTATTTCTTTTGATGTTTGAATGGGGAATTAGGTTAATGATTTGGAGAAAAAGGTTGCGGAAACCAAAAGGAAATGTGCCGAGCTTTCTTTGCGACTTGAGCTTCTAAGGAGGCAGAATTTTGTATCATAAAATAATTGATATTTTTTGATGGTTAATGCTGTTTTTTGGTCTGTTGTGTGTTTGTATGTGGAAGAAATGGTTGTAGCATTAGTAGGTGCATATTAGCAACTTTTGGTTATATTTCTCTTTAAACAAAATAAGGTTTTGATGGCATTAGGAAATGTAGAGGGAGAAAAATCCTAAAAATTGAAACGGGTGGATATGTCGGTATTTAGGGCTAAAGGTGGACATACACCGGTTTTGGTTTTTTAAAACCGGTCTTCTCTAGATTGGTTTCGGTTATTATCAGAAACTATATATATATATATATATATATATATATATATATATATATATTAAACCATTAGGTTTGATTATCGAAGAAAAGGTGGAAAAAAACTAGTTTCAGTTATATAATAAAACCTATTTCAAACATTTCAATTTTGACCTAACTGGTTCTCAAAAAAAAGAGACCGTTATTATTATTATTATTATTATATATATATTAAAGTTGTGGAAGAAAGGAATAGTAAATTTTGCATACTTTGTCCAGCTTTGGCCTCTTGATTTACATATCCGGTCCTTGTACTTTTTTAATTAATTTATTCATGTCATTTTGTTTGTGTTCCATTCAACTTTTCATTTTTTTGGCAGAATTGGTCCCTGTATTATTGTTGGAAGTTATGAATATTAAATTTGGATGTTTTTTGACAACTTTGTTCATTATTCTTTACCCATTTTGACATTTTTGGTCCTTGCAATCAATATTTTTACACTTTTTTTGGAACCTTTTAATATTTAAAGTTCGGCCACAAAACTTTAACGGTTTGACAACTTTGATCCCTTTTCTAAAAAGTTGCTAATTCCTACCCCTTTAATTCTTTAGCCATTTTCACACTTTTGGTCCTTGCAGTCAAAACTTTTACATTTTTGTCCGGGGCAAAGCCCGGACTTTTCATCCTTGTACTCTCTATGTCTGTCATATTTATAAATTCGGAAACAACATTGAAAGCTTCTGGCCCCCGTGTAGCGGGGGTAAACTTTCTAGTTCAAAATCGAAATCGAACTGCTTTTAACATCAAAATGTGTGCATAACATTGGCTTTTACATATGTGAAATCATATTCTTTTACATATTCGAAACTATATTCTTAAGCAATACCAATAGTAATATCGTTTAATACAACATTTTTATATAAAATCTAAAAATAAATAAATAAATAAATAGTTGGAGCTTGTCTTAAAAAAATCAAAGCAAAGAATGAAGTTTAAAAAAATCATGAAACATAACATCACCACTGCCGGAGGCCTACCGCCGACGACCTACTTCCGGCCAGTAACCACCACCATCCAGATCGAGAACAGAAAGGGAGAGCCAAAAAGGGAAAAACGACGTATGTCGCTGCTCACCGTCTGACAACTGTGAATAGCCTCGTTTCAGGCAGGATGCGGTTTACTCTCTCTCCTTTCACTGCCGGAAAGACGATCTTCGTCGCTGCTCCATCTGACCAACGTTACCAGTGTCGTTTCAGGCAGTCGGCGGCTAGGGTTTCCTAAACAAGAGAAAAGTGTTTTATTTCATGGAGTTAAAATCAGGTCGTGAAGATCCGCACGTCATTCGTCTCCCTCAAAATTTGAATGGTCTATATTGAGTTTGTGTTTGGGAGTGCTTCTTAAATTAGCTTATTAGCTTATTGATTTTACAAAAAATTAATAAACTAAAAAAATGTTTGGGTTGTTCGAAAGCGTTTTTCAAACAACTTTTTGGATATTCTAAATAAGAGAGTTTCAAAAAACAACAAAATCCTAGTTTTTTGATGGTTTTATAGCTTTTTAATTTTTCTTACCATTTTTTACCTTTAAAAAGCTAAACAAAACACTTTTTTAAAACCAACTTATTCACTTTTTTACTTTTCCTACCACAAAAACTAACCTAAATATTTTTTAAACTTATTTTTTTAAAAAATCATAAGCCAATAACCATTTTTATCAAAAGCACTTTTGAGATAAAAAAAAACACTTCTAAACACACCTTGAGTATTCATTCGTTTACCTACCAACGTGGGATTTTAATGAGTGTCTTAATTTGTTTTTTACGATTATTATTATTATATTGTTATTATTTACCGACCCATGGAATAAAAAGAATTTCTCATTCACAACATATAATGTAATTGAGTGATTGATTTTTTCTTTAAATCTAATTCAGAATTTTTTTGAGTGATTGATTTTTGACGATAAATTTTTTGTTGAAGTTCACTTTCCCTTGTCGTTTAATCTAAAGTGTTATCACAATTTGTTTTTGTGTTTATATTAACTAGAGGAAGCCCACCCGGGTCATTGGAGCGGGTTTGAATGGTTTTGTACCGGGTTGGATATTTTTTTTTTCTTTTTTTAACATAATAACATCATGCTTTCATTTTTATCCTAATTCAATGTAAAAATCCAAAGGAAGAATCAAAAGCCATCAGGAAAGAGTTTTCAAGTTAAAAATGGATTTAACAAAATAGTCAAAAAAAAATGTATAGATACAAAAGTATATAATCATTTTTATGCAAACCCCAGCATCCTTTATCTATGATAAATTCATAAAAATGTCTGCTCGTTATAAAATGGGTAAATTGCAAGAAATAAAAAAGTACTTTATTCTTTTTATCAATATAATCGATAGACTTTATCATTTACCCACAATAATAACAAACGGCCTTCAAAACTCTTCCTTTATCAAGGTTACCCAAAGCAAAATAAAATAAAATATAAAAGTCAATGTAATTGAGGTTAGAAAGAGCTGGATGAAAAAAGAAGCAAGTTATTTATCTGAATGACTCATACCTGTAAATTCAATATCGGACAACGGGTTTTTCAAGCTACACACCTTCATAAACACATAAATGTGACAATGAAGCAAAAATAATCAAAAAGTAGCAAAGTACTTTTGTTCATATGTCATACTTTCATTTCCTCTTATTACTTACAATACCCTTTTATTATTGACTGTCAATATCTTTGTGTCAAGAAATAATCTAAGAACTAAATATGTTCATAAAACGTGATGACTCATTTAATTATCTTGCTTATTCATTTCCACTTTCATTCCATTACATTCAACCAATAAAAAAGTGATTATTTGTTATGATGGTTTATTCTAAAACAATTTAACACCTAGAAGATAATAACCAATTATCATCGAAGCTTAAAAATATAAGATAATAAGTTACAGAATCTCCATGTATCAATTTCTCTGTGTTGGAAAACCAAGGTGACGCGTAAACTAATAAAATCATTTCATGTTGTTTGTCATCTTCCTTATCAGCGATGATTCCTTCTCGAACCTGAGTGAAATACAAACGAAGAACAAAAGGGATAAGGAATTGAATGTAGTGGTAACATCGACTCCAAAGAGAAGTTGAATGCATTCAGGAATCAACACGCAAGAACAGTAGGTAGCGAACAGGAAATCAAAACTGGAATGAAATCCATCGAGCCCTAACCGTATATTAGAAAGTGAAGAGGTGTCTGAAGTCGGCGATATGATGGATTAAACGATGGAGGGTTTCAATTTTCTAGAACACCGATTGCTTGATACGGTATGAAGGAAGACCATGACACGAATCGTTGGATGAGGGCTCTCTGCATCCATATGATTGGAGGGAATAGCGGTGGGGATGATAGACAGTAACACCAAAATGTCATATGTACCATTTGACCAACCAAAATTGTCAAAAATGGTCTTTGTGGTTTGCCAAAAGTAACAAAGTCAATCCCTATTAATTTTATTTTGATGTAAATGACCCCTGTGGTAATGTGGTTTGCAAGATGACCCGTTTTACTAACACCATTACTATAGGGACTATTTTAGGAGAGGAGGATTCCAACTTGAGACCTCCTTCCCCCTCCTTATTCAGACAAAGCTCTAGCCAACTAGGCTAGAGCCAAACTTGTTATATATTTCCGAAATTTAATTAATATTATATAAAAGCGTAAATAATTAATAATAAAAAAATAAAATTTTTTTTTTTATTTTTTTATTTTTTTATTTTTACGTAAAAACATTAAGAAGGTGATAAAAACATTAAAATATTTTATTATTATTATTATTAATTATTTACGCTTTTATATAATATTAATTAATTTTCGGAAATATATAACAAGTTTGACTCTAGCCTAGTTGGCTAGAGTTTTGTCTGAATTGAATAAGGAGGGGGGAAGGAGGTCCCAAGTTCGAATCCTTCTCCCCTCATTTTCTATATTTCTTATCATTTTAAGATAGAATTACAAAAATAGTCTCTATGGTTTACCCAAAGTTGCGAATCCAATCCCTTTGTACTTGAAAAGACAAAAATACCCTTGCTAATTCAGTCTTTAACGGCTGAATACTAACGGCGTTAGTAAAAAAGGCCATCTATGCAAGTTTTGCAAACCACAGGGACCATTTGCATAAAAAAAAATTAATAGGGACTGACTTTGTTAGTTTTGACATACCACAGGGACCATTTTTGTAATTTTGTCTTATAATAACTGTTGGTGGGGTAAAAGTATTTACCAAAAGTTTAAAAGTGAAAAATTAAGGGACAAAAGCATAAAATTGAAAAAACTTGTGCGGCAAAAGTCTTTAAGGAAAGAAACTATACTGTTTTAATATATATATATATATATATATATATATATATATATATATATATATATATATATATATTCTCTAATAAATGAAGATTTTTTTTAACATGTCATCTTTTCCTTCATTTTGACACTTGTCATTTTGTGGGAGTTTTAAAATTTTTATTTTCCACTTGTCATTTTTTAGGAATTTCCATTTTCTTAAAATAAAATTCCATAAAATTGTAATAGATTCTATAAGGAAATAAAATCATCATATTAATTTGATAATAAATTCTCATAAATACTGCAAACGATTTAATTTATTTTGCAAATGTTCTAAAATATTAATTTTGTTATGTAAAGTATTACTTTATAAAATATTTCATGTTTATATATTGATATTAAATTTTTATTTTTAAT